CAAAGACTGGGATAAATGGAAAGGTGCTTGTGATGAAGATATGAATTCTCTGCATAAAAACAGGACATAGAATCTAGGAGATTTACCTGAAGATAAGAAGGTAATAGGTTGAAATGGGTTTTCAAGCTCAAGCCTGGGATTCCTGGAGTTGAGGAGCCACGGTACAAGGCTAGATTGGTTGCTAAAGGCTACTCTCAGAAGGAAAGAGTTGATTATCAAGAGATTTTCTCTTCTGTAGACAAGCACGTTTCCATCAGGTTCATGTTATCTGTTGTCATTAACTTCGACATGGAGTTGGAGCAACTAGATGTGAAAACAGATTTTCTACACGGCAATATAGAAGAAGATATCTATATGGAGCAGCCAGAAGGATATGAAGTTAAAGGAAAGAAGAACAAAGTCTGTCACTTACAAAAATTCCTTTACGGGGTGAAGCAAGCTCAGCGACTGTGGAGCAAATGCTTTGATCAATTCATGACCAAGCATGGTTTTATGAAGAGTGAATATGACTTGTGCGTCTACTTGAAGAAGCTAAAAGACAAGGTATATATCTACTTAATCTTATATGTAGATGATATGCTGATTGCATCTAAGAGTGTGGTAGATATTGATAAGCTTAAGAAGCTGTTAAGTAGCGAGTTTATAATGAAGGATTTGTGTCCAGCGAAGAGAATCTTAGGAATGGATATAGAAAGAGATCGTGTAGGTGGAGTTCTTACATTGTCTCAATCTAGCTACATTAAAAAGGTTCTTCAAGTGTTTCGTATGGATGAAGCAAAATCTGTTTATACTCCTACTGGTGCTCATTTCAAATTAGCTTCAGGTAAGGACGAAGAAGATGCAGAGACAGGGGAGTATCCATATTGTGATGTTAGTAGCATGATGTATGCTATGATTGGTACTAGGCCTGACATTGCATATGATGTGGATTTAGTGAGCAGATTCATGAGTAATCCAGCTCAAGTTCACTGGTCTGCAGTTGGGTATTGAAGTATCTGAAAGGTTCTCAGAACAGGTGTTTGGTGTTTAAGAAGAGTTCAGATGGGTTCAGAGTTGAGGGTTACTCAAATTCAGATTTTGCATGGAACTTATATAAGAGAAAGTCTACATCAGGGTATGTGTTTACTGCAGGAAGAAACAAAATAAGCTGGAAATCAGGTTTGCAACAAATTGTGGCTCTTTCGACAACAGAAGTTGAGCACATTGCTTTGGTGGAAACAATCAAGAAAGGTATTTGGCTGAGAGGTTTGGCAGAGGAGTTGGGTTTCAAGCAAGAAGAGGTTAAGGTTCACTATGGTTCGCAGAGTGGGATATGTTTGGCGAAGAACAATGTGTTCCATGAGCAGACGAAGCATGTAGCAGTGCGAGTAGCAAAGCACATAGCAGTGAAGATGAGCTTCGTGCGAGAAACGATTGAATTTGGAGAAGTAAATGTTCAGAAGGTTCATACATCCAAGAATCCGGCTGATATGCTTACTAAGGTGATTTCAGTTCAGAAGTTTGAGCAAGCTTTGGCTCTTCTCAAAGTAGCCAATTTTTAAGGTGATGGCTACGCTTGATGGCTCAAGGAACAAGCTCTAGAATGTTGCTGTCAATGTGGAGGTTTGTTTATCCTAAGGTGACAGCTACATTCAGTTGTAGAGCTTAAACCAGTCTTGGTTTAGCTTAATTGTGTTCAGAATTAAATCAGAGATAGCTAGTTGGTTATTGGAACTAGTTTACTTACCTTGAACCGATCTTCTCGATTTGTTATGGAAGAAGATGAGAGTTTGTTAGATAACATTCACGGAAAACAGAAATTAGAGAGAGCAAGAGAGAGAGAGAAAGATCTAGATAGTGTTCTTAAGAGATTCGTGAGTTGATCTGATCTATCTTGTATCTTGTACTTGTTACTCTTTGATTTAGTGGATTGTTGCTTGTGCCGTCAAGCTCCAGATGTAAAGTTCTCATCTCGACTCGAACTGGGTTAACAAAGCACATGTGTCATTTTCTTCCTTATTGTTCTTAGTGATCTTCTTCTTCTATCAAATTTCTGCAATTCAAGCTAAGTAGAGGTGAATCGATAAACAGGATTTGGGTTTTGGACATAACAACCATCAGTTCTTTGGGCATAACAACCATCAGTTCCAATTCTATCAGAATTTAATTCAATTTTATTGATTTGTTGTTATCCTTCATTATCATTTAGATTCATATATAGACTCATCGAGAAAAATATATAATGTCGAAATTAGGGAGAAATGATTAGGATTCATAAACACATCATTGAATTTATATATCTTGCAAAGATTAAACAGATCTTATCATTTCTAAGGTAAGACCGGCCACATATTATAATAAATCGGATCGAATGTGAATTCTTTCTAGTACAACATATAAACCTTGGAACTAACACATTAAAATTGACTTTCCTTAGACAAATAAATCACATGTTTTATATTATTGTAAGTTTGAGCACCATCCATTTTCTTTGAGTGACAAGTGAATGTAGATTATCATTTTTTTTTTTAGGGTTAATTGGCAAAATAACTTAATTAAGATTTGGAACTTGAAAAATATACTATCTTTTTGATTTTTTTATAACTACACTTATTGATATATAAAAAGACTATTTTGACCAGATTCTAATTAAAAGATATATAAATAAAAATAAAAATTATGATTTTTGTTGAAGATAAAGATATTGAATATTTACCATAATTAGATAAATTTTAGTATATGGGAATTTATCTCTATAAAAAAAATCCAAATTTTTTATTAATGTTTATATAAAGGAACATATAAAAGTGAAATACCGATATTAAGTTTTGAAATCTGCAAAAAAAAAAAACAGAGCTTTCTAATTCAAAACAACAGAGCTTTTTTAAAACTTTTGGTATTTTGTTTCCAATCTTTAATTTTTATTTTTTTTAATTTGTTTTCATTTACTCAAATGTTTGATCAATGTTATGTTTGAATAATGTTTTAGTAAAATTCTGATGTTGGAGTATATGTTGTAAGTCAAAAATGAATAATACTTAATAGTTAATATTTTGTTTTAATTGATTGATATACGAAAGTTAACTGGTTTTAGAAGATTGTATTGTATAGATGATTCATAGATTCGCTTTTCCTAGTTATTAATGATTAATTAAAAGTTTTTCTTAGATTACAAGTTTAATTTTTATTGTTTATATGTTTTTGATAGATATGAAATACATCTTTTACAGCAAAGGTAGTGGAAAACAAAAGGCACAAGAAGATCAAACACATGACAATATGAAATTGAAGAACAAAAGAATTGTCCCATGCGTTGAAGTGTTATCTAAAAAATATTTCCAGGCTTGGATGATAGAATTGGAAGAAGAGATTAAAAAGAGATTCACAAAGCTTAGTTCAGAGCTTTTCGATGTAAAAACTAGGCTACAAATACTTGATGTAAACATGGAAATTTTACAAAAATCCACCAATATGAAAAAAAAAAGCAAAGAGTTTAAACATCACGAAGAAGGTAAATAGTGTTCATCTTTATGATTTGGTAATTTTGCTATTCTTCTATATGTCGTTACATGTTGCTTATTATGAATTGATGATGAGTGATTTTTTTTGCAGACAACAATAAAAGATTTGAACACCATTTTCGATACTGTGAATTCTACAGATATGGATTTTTCTGTCAAAATATTTAACCGAATACATATGATCCGTTTGCAAAAGTAAATAAGAGTAATACTGAATGGCTATAGTCATGGATGAAGGTAGAATGGTTTGTATTTTCACAAAAAATAATTAATTATTATTTTGTTATTAGTTTTTATTTTTCTCTACCTACCAAAAATAAAAATATAATTTGAGATAAAAAAATCAGTTTTAGTTTACAAATAAAATAATATCAAAATAAATATCATTCAGTTTTAAAAGGTTAATTTAGTCATTTTATATATAATAAAATATATTTTTTCATAATTTTAATAATAGGGTAGTTTTCAAATTAGAATCTTAATTTAAATTATTTTTCCAAATTTTCTCTTTTATCATTTGTATGGGTACTTTGTACTAATTGCAGCCTGCTAAACATGCAAATACATTAATTCATGCATTATAGTATTATCCATAACCACGATTGTCAAAACTCTTATTATTAAACGTTACAAACCTAATCTCTTATTTTTGCAAGTCGGCGCGTGTTTTAGTTGAAACTAGAGAATATTATAATTACTTTTCTTCCAACATATAATATCCAAGCATAAAACTAGACGTGGTTGCCATGCAATTTGTAGTACCCGAAACGACGGGCCATAAGAAATTTATAATTATGTAAACGATTTATTTATTTAACAAGAATTGACTATTCGTAGTACAATGATTAAAAAATTTATCATGAGGGTTGGACATCTAGAGTTTGAGTTCTTTGATTGTAATTTCGATCTTAGTTAGTTATCGTAAATGTCTGAAATAACTTGTTCGAGTTCGCGTTCCTTGATTGCAATTTCGATATTAAACTGTTTGTTTACATTATGTGATAGTTTGAATGTATATTTTTATGCTTAAACAGTTTGTAGTGGTACAATGTTGATCAGGATTGTTTTTATAAATTAATGGAAATTATTATTTTTATATGTTTTTGTAATACATGTGAAAAAGTATACTCTAAAAAATCTTAAAACGAGAGTGTAAAATAAAAAAAAATAACATAATATGTGCTCTATCAAAAACCAATAAAACTCAAAGATTTCGATAAGTATAAGAGTTCGGTAAGAACATACTGCAAGTGCAACAAAGTGGTTATTTACCTCCTTTTTTTTTAATTTGGTTTAAGGCCGGAAATAATTTTTTGAAGTCAAACAATGATCGTCCTTAATATCACGGAAGACAACAGTTATGTTACGCCGTTATCCCCGCCGTAAGAGATATTCTAACGTCTAGTCGAATAATAGTTAACGGAGTTAGGTGGCTTCTTCCCACCTTCGTTGCCTTCTTATATATAAACCATGTTTCTTTCTTCAGCTTCTCCAAGTTACATCTCTCTCTCTCTCTCTCTCTCTCTCTCTCTCTCTCTCTCTCTCTCTCTCTCTCTCCTCCTTTCTTCTTCAATATACACAAAAGAGAGAGAGAGCTTTAATATAACCAACAATGGCTGTCTCCAAAAGTTTCTTAGCTCTCTCATTAACTCTAATCGTTCTAGCATTCTTTCTCTGTGTAAATGCATCGACAATGTAAGCTCAGGGATTCTCAAAATATTTCAAATCTTTGTACTAGAGTGAAGAAGTAACTTTTGTCTCTTCATTTTTTGTGTAACAGAGCTCACGAAACAGAGGAGCTTAAGTCTCAGAGCTTGAGTAATTCATCAACGGCTGATAAGTGAGTTGTTCTACTTCCTAGTCAATCTCAACCGTCCAGATTAATCAACGAGAATCTTCGATAATCCTTATACGGTGTCGTTTTCGGAATGCTCTGTTTTCTCAGGTTAAGTGACGACGGTGCATGGAACGAACACGCCGTTAAAAACCCAGAAGAAGTAGCTGCAATGGTCGATATGTAAGATATTCTAAATCTACCTTTATTTTTCAAAGCATTTAAAATAAAAGTAACATTTGTTTTCCGCAAAATGAAAATATTATAATTAGCTATGATATGAGTTGGACATTTTTATTGGATGTTTCGACGTTCTCTCCATCTCACTTTCAATATTAATAACGTTTTCAGATAGTCAAACGTTGTCATTCCTTAAATTTTAATTCACATTAATGTCCTCTAATAATAGTATAAAAGAGTTCTTCCCATAAAAGTTAATTCTCTATTTTTAAAATATGGTTTAGAAGGTGTTTTTATACAACTACATATGTGACACAGACACGCCGTGATCGCCATTTAAAGCGCCTCTGTCGTCGCTATTTTCCACCGACGCAAAAATGTAATTAATGCATACACATAGTATATGTGTATAAATATATCTGGTTCTGAAGGTTCTGCATTTATTAAACGCATCATAAAAATAGCAAATTTTTAAAAAGAAAAAAAAGAATGATCTAAAGTTTTCCGTATAGTCCGTATCACAAGAAAATATGATTCTGTATAATATAAGTTTTTTCAGTCACATTTATTACACCACATGGGTCCCTCTCCTTCTCTTTGGTCCTCCCCACGTGACTTTGTTCAATCCAACTTATCCGAGGGCTTTGTTTATAAAATTAAAGACATCATGGGTCAATCTTGTACTAATTTTAAATAATGAGGCCTCCTCCATCAAATAATCATTTCTCTTTGGTCCTCCCACGTGATTTTGCTCAATCCATGGGCTTTATTTTAATATCGTAAACTTCATGGGTTAATCGGATAACAATTTAAAAACTTAGCTCTCTTTCTGTAATTTTTTTAACTAATTTGAATTTTGCGTGCAGGACCATAAGGAACAGTACGGAACGGAGGAAGTTAGGATTCTTCTCATGCGCCACCGGGAATCCAATCGACGATTGTTGGCGATGTGATCGGAAATGGCATCTCCGGCGAAAACGTCTGGCGAATTGCGCGATCGGATTTGGTCGCAACGCCGTCGGAGGCCGCGATGGTCGTTACTACGTCGTCACCGATCCATCGGACAACGACGCGATTAATCCGAGACCGGGGACGCTTCGACACGCCGTGATTCAGGATCTTCCGCTATGGATCGTCTTCAAGCGAGACATGGTGATCACTCTGAAGCAGGAGCTGATCATGAACAGCTTCAAAACGATCGACGGAAGAGGCGTGAACGTCGCGATCGCTGGAGGCGCGTGTATCACGATCCAGTATGTGACGAACATCATCATCCATGGGATTAATATCCACGATTGTATACGGACGGGTAACGCCATGGTGAGAAGCTCGCCGTCGCATTACGGGTGGAGGACTATGGCGGACGGAGACGCGATCTCCATTTTCGGGTCGAGTCATATTTGGATCGATCACAACTCTTTGTCTAACTGTGCTGATGGGTTGATTGATGCGATCATGGGATCTACCGCCATTACTATCTCCAACAACTATCTCACTCATCACAACGAGGTTAGTTTCTTCGCTCATAATGAAAATTTTGTGGAAATGGTGCTGAATCTGCTGTGGAATCCACTTTTTTGGAGTGAATTGGAGCCAAATTTCTTCATATACTAACTGGTTAAGCAAGGATTGTGGTTAATTTAGCTGCCAAATTAGTCAGGATAGTGAATTGAATAGTGTAGGTTTCTCAAGATCAATAATTTGTTTTTGTCTTGTGATCTTAGCCACATTTTTCTTTGATAACATTTGTCTTATGAACCTTCAAAGAGTTGAGAAGAATGTTTTGTTGATGGGAATGCAGGTTATGTTGATGGGTCATAGTGATTCCTACACCAGAGACAAGATGATGCAAGTGACCATAGCATACAACCATTTTGGGGAAGGGCTTATACAGAGAATGCCAAGGTTCTTACTCCATTTCCTACATACTCCATCTGAATGTTTTTGCCATCATAAATCACGAGTGATGGCTGATTTCTTCTGCTGTTATGTTCAGGTGTAGGCATGGTTATTTCCACGTTGTGAACAACGATTACACTCACTGGGTCATGTATGCAATTGGTGGAAGTGCTAATCCTACAATCAACAGCCAAGGCAATCGTTTCCTTGCTCCATCAAACCCTTTTGCCAAAGAGGTATATAAATCATAAGCTCTCTCTTTGATCAGTTTTAGTTTCTGATTTCTCAAATCAGAAAAAAGAATGGATCTAAATGTCATATTGGTTTTGGCAGGTGACAAAGAGAGTAGGTTCATGGCAAGGAGAATGGAAGCAATGGAACTGGAGATCACAAGGAGACCTAATGCTCAACGGTGCTTACTTCACTAAATCTGGAGCTGCTGCTCCTGCAAGCTATGCAAGAGCCTCAAGCTTGGGAGCTAAACCATCTTCCGTTGTGAGTATGCTTACATACAGCTCCGGTGCACTTAAATGCAGGATCGGTATGCGTTGTTAGACCCTTAAAATTGTATAATCCACAAAACCAAGACCGAAGAAGATAACTGAATAGCTGCTGATGAGGGAAATGAAAAGAAGAAAAGTAACTTGTTTTCTTTTTCGTTCCCATGTTTTTTACATTTTCATTGTCACCTTTCTTTCTCCTTTTTACCATTGTTAGACTCACTCTCTACTTCCATTCGTCAACCTGGGCCAGCTTTCATGAGCCACAGTGTTGTTCGATTACGAAAATTGTAGTACAGTCCATTATCATTTGTATCATATATTCTTCTATCAATATAATTGCTTTGAACTGCTTCTGTTACATCATTCTCATTGACAAAACACAGATAAAAATCAATTCAGAATGGTTCTTGCCTATTGAAACAAATGCATATAACTCAGTACGGCGTCTCGACATCGCTTCTGGTCTCTGTCGGGCTGTACAACGCAGATCTATTCCTCGGTCTGTTCTCTTCCAACTGCTTCACAACCTCTTCCATGGTCGGTCTAACCGTTGTAACAGGAGCACAACATCCCATCGCTAGCTTCAACGCATGAACCAAACCTTCTTCCATTGGGCTCCTAACACCTTTCATTGCCTCCATGTCGAAAACCTCCATCGTCGTCTCCTCCAACACAGCGGCTTTAACCAAAGAAGGAAGATCAACAAACTCGCCACCCTTTCTTCCACCGCTCTTTCCAGGTTTCTTACCCATCAGTATCTCCAAGAGAAGGATCCCAAAGGCGTAAACATCGCTCCTCGGGTTACATTTCTTCATCTTGTGAAGCTCAGGAGCTTTGTACCCGTCGGATTTCGCCTGAGAGACGATCTCATCGGCTACTGACTGTACCATTATCTTGTCTAGACCGAACTCAGTGAGCCTAGCGAAGAAAAAATCGTCCACGAGGACGTTTTTGGATCTAATGTTCCCATGGATGATAGGAACTTCTTGTCCTGTATGAAGATAAGAGAGCCCTCTCGCTATTCCAAGTGCAATCTTATGTCTCCTTGCCCAATTCAAACCTGGCTTCCCTGGTTTACTCTCTGCACATCATTTCAAACAACAAGATTAAGCAAGAAGACGCTATATAAATAGCAAGAAAGATAATCAACGGAGGGAAACAAAAAGCTAATACCGTGCAGCAAATCATGTAAGCTTATGTTTGGAATATAATCATAGATGAGAAGCTTCTCTCCTCTCTTTCCTTGATAGAAAGCTCTCAAAGGAACCAGATTCTCATGGCGAATACGTCCTAACTGCTTTATAACAGGCAAGCAAGAGCTTCTGTCTTTGCAAGTACCTTCTCTCAACAGCCTCAATGCTATATTCCCTCCATCACTAAGCTTAGCCTTGTAGACTGTACCGTAGCTCGTCTTCTCCATAACTTGTCCCGTCGCATTCAAAACCTCTTCCAATGTCAGATTCTCACCGCCTTGGAACACTATTAACTTCCCTTCACCGCCTTCATCTTCTTCGTCACCTTCTTCTAAATCATCTTCACTCTCTATACTATTCTTTCTTTTCTTGTTCTGCAGATACCCTATCAGCAACGAGGCCACAACAACTGCTCCTGACATTAAACCAATCACTAGACCAGCAACAGCACCAGGACTCAACCTAGAGGAGCCTAGACATGGCTTCAAGGGCAAACCACAAAGGCTAGGATTGTTCCCTTCGAAAGATTCTGCTCCAAACTTTGATTCACCAAAAGTTGGTAACATCCCACTGAAGTTGTTGTGAGAAAGATTGAGACTTTCTAGTTGTAATACAGCTAAACCATCAGGGACAAGACCTTCAAAGACATTACTTGAAAGATCAAGTGATTTTAGACCTTTGAATCTTGTAATATACTCAGGGAACTCACCTGAGAACTTATTACCACCCAAATCAAGAACTTGGAGGTTACTACAAGTCGAATTTGGCAAAGCAGGCTCAGGCAAATCTCCAGACAAGGCATTACCATGGATCTTGAGGGAGACAAGCTTATCACAGAGGTTCCAAATCGATGGAGGCAAAACACCAGTTAAGGCATTACTGCTCAAATCGACATCAGAGAGAGAAGAAGTGTAACCAAGCTCGAGTGGGATTGACCCAGTTAATGAATTGATGTTGAGGAACACGCTTTGAAGCATAGAGAACTCACCAAGCTCTCTAGGGAGTGAGCCGGTGAGGTTAGCAGAAGGAAGCTGGAGAGAGAGAAGGTGAAGTGAGGATTCGTTGTATAGAGAGACGTTGGTCCATTGTGGTGAAGAGACGTCGCTACATTGAAGAGGAGACCCATCTGAAAATACCCATTTTACCCCTCTCCATTGACAAACCGGAACAGATGAGTTCCAAGAAGACAACAGTAGGCTTTCACTGTTTCCTTGAAGTGAAGATTTGATCTTTCCCACAAGAAGCTTCACATCTGATGAGCCAGAGAGAGATGCTTTACAATGGCAGTGGAGAATCAGCTCAAGGAAGAAGAAAACGTGAAGAAATCTCGAAGCATCCATGCCAATTTCTCAGAGAGAGGGAGAGAGAGTGGTAAGAGAAGGGAAAGGTGATGACTTTGTAGTTGTAGTGGAAAGAGAGTGTATTGACCATTTTGTAAACACTTTGGTCAAACATGTCAACGGCTATGATGATTCTAACTTAAACGGGGTTGATTTGTTACCGTCCGATGTAGCCAAAAGCTGGTGTTTTTTTTTTTTTTTTGTAATCGGTAAGTAAAAAAGCGTTTTAATAAAAACTCAAAGCGATGGACAAGAATGGTATAAATGTACTGATTACTAGTGATTTTATAAAGTTGCTTTTCTTTATCCCTTTAAATGATTAAACTATTAGCACGCTCAAATTTCGAATTAAGACTTTTTTGTATTTGTAAAAGATTTTTTTCTAAAGGTGAAGTCTTTTCTGTACTGTGACTCACGCTATGTTCCCTACTCCTTGAATCTTGTCCGTACGTAAGTCAGCAAAGAGATGTTATGAGTGAGTCAACGGTGGAGGAATCGTAGATAAATTTGGTTTGTGGGGTAAACAGGAAATGTTTTTGGGACAAAGAGGGAATAACTCATGATGACAAACATGAGTTTGATTCTTTTTGTGATCTAGAATTGGTCTGAATCTGGTTCACATATTTAAATTAATCATAGATCATAAAAGAAGTTTCAAACAAATCTTTAATGCATTTTTTTATGGCCTAATCGAGTATGGCTGATGAGACTTGGCCCAAAAATTTCTAATTTTTTATTTATTTCAAATTGAGCAAAATGAGATTTTGATTCTTGTATATGAGTATATCTCTTAGGTAACAAAATATCGATCCTCTTGGGAATAAAAACCAAAAAGAAAGTGTCGATCCTTTATAGACAAAATGCATATTTTGATCATAATAAAGCCACCAAAATTTGAGAGCAAAATATGTTCTCCAGATATAAAAATCTCATGCAACTTTATAGAAAGAAAGATAAAAACATGAGGAATCTCTGATTAGATTACGACACAACTATGTCACGTCTTTATCAACATGTAAAACTGTTGCACTCCCACGCTGCTCTTTTTGTAATCAACTTCACTTTCATAATAACATCATATATTCTTCATTATTACTTTTTCTCACTATGTCATATATACTAATGTTTCATAACCCTCTCATGAACCATGCCTTAGTAGTAGCTCAATCATCTCCTGAGCTCTTTCTCTATTATATGCAGTGCAATTTTTGGTTTGATTGGTTTAAGATAATAAGGGAAAATGATGTTCACACAAGCCGACAAGCGACACAGAGATGAGCAAAGTTATATAATCCATCCTCATTTTTTAAGCATCAATGTCGACATATGTGCAGATTCTGTTTTTTTTGTTCTTAGTTGTTTTAGAAAAGCTCAAGAAATTCGAATTCCTAAAAGTCTATAACCATCCCCAAAAGCATGGGCTGTAACAAAACTCTGGGCTGGGCTTTATTTTTCTTCCATTTTCTATCATTTGTATAATAGAAAATCCTTTCACAAGTCAAACATATGTATATATTTACTGAGATTCGAAATGCTTAGCCCTAACACATGAAAGTAGTCTATAACTTTCCTTTCATACAAGCCTAACAAATTACGTAAAGACTCAGTTTATCATCATTGTGATCCATAAAAAACATTCACATCACAAGTTCACTGCCATTTATGTAAGCTCAGCTCAATAAGTGAGACTAATACGTAAAGACAAAAGAATTACAACAACAAAACACTATAATCATCTTTCCTTAATCAAATATAACACAAAACACCATTTCCAGAATTAATCATCTTTACAATATCCTGACGGTACAAAAAGAAGAGTTAAAAAAAGCTTTAAAACGACTTGAGAAGAAAAAGAGGAATGGAGTAAAAACCTGGACCTCAGATAAGAACTTCTTTAATCATCATGACCCTCCATTTGTCTACGAGATCCCATGCATGCACGAGAAGTGGCACACTTAGATACGCTGCCATTTTTCCTTTTTTTGCCTCTTCATTATTTGGTACATAATAATATTATACTGTTTCTTGTTTTTGTTTTTGTTTTTTTTTTTCACTTTTCATTTAACAGTTTGAGAAGTTGGTGAAGCCGCAGCTACCACAATTGCCGACGGAGAGTTGTTGTGAATGCTCCTTTGCGACTTGTTTTGTCTCTTCGTGGCAGCTGCTGACGACGGTGGTGCCTCCGGCTTTGTTCCCGCCGGTTGTCTAACTTTAACCCCTCGTATCAACTGTAATATAATAATGTGATATGTAATAGTGAGACTTAATTACTATACAAACAAATAAAGGTGTAGTTGATAAGGGTTTTGAGTATTATGGAAATTAAAAAAATAGATAAATGTGATAATTGTCTTACATATTTTCCACATTTAACATCGGAGTATATGACTATGAAATCACCTTCTTGGAGCCCGTTTGTTTTCACAAAGTCGCCTGCAAATTTTAAGGAAAAATCAGATAGGAAAAATTTACAAAATAAAAAAAAAAAACTAAAGAAAAGAAAAATCGTACCGGTGTTCTCGAGGAGATACATCCTGCTTTTGTTGTTAGGCCAAAATCTGCAACCCATTCAAAGAAGAAAGTTTCAATTTACCAAATATTTGTCGAGTTCCAAATTTTGACAAATACACGATCAATAAATTATTCACTAACTAATGAACAAGTTCATTGGTTATCCGTTATCGTAATTACCTATAGCGCATGTTCCATACACGAGAGGTTCCAATGTCTTCCATGGCGAGAGAGATGCCATCTCTTGCCTCTAGCTCCGGCAAGTGCGTCTCAGCTTCTTTCTGTTTCACATTTTTATAAATCAAGTAAAATCAAAGTTAAGCAAAAGAGTGAAAAACTAACAAAAATGACAATATTTGTTACTTGTGTTAATAAGAAACTAACAAAAAATATATAGAAAATGGAAAACAAAGTCTACAAGCAATTAGAAGAAGTAAATTACTTTTGGCAAGACGATTCTTCCGAGGTTACCCACGTCGCTTTGCTTCAAGACTTTCTGCAAGAGAAACCGCAAGTTCTTTTCTGGTTTCCATCCCTAAAAATTAAACAAAAACCAAAAAAAATCAAAACCAAAACCATTTTATTTTGCATTGCAAAACATAATCAACATCTTCATTTTCCATTGTCAAAACATAATCAACATCTTTCTTCATGAACCATAACACGACTGGTGCAAATCACACAACTCTTTGCATAATGCTAAAATCTAAAACAATGAGAGTAAGGATGATTGTGCATGCCTACCTGACGGCGATCTGGTACCACCTGCTGACGTGGCATAGCAGAAGCAGAGCCAGCTCGGTCTATGGTGGGTAGCTGAGTCTCCATCGCCGGTAATTGAGCTGATCCTTGCGGTGGCATGACCGGTACATTAGGCCAATACATCCAGGTCCCACCGGTAGCATTTGCAGCCACCGGATTAAGCTGAGGAGTCACAGCAGCACAGCTCTCACCGAGTTGAGTCTGGTTCTGACTACTATTGTTGTTGTTATGTCTATGGTGGTGAGTCAAGAACCTCCTCTGTCTCGCCATACGTTTCTTTCTTGCCTCTTTAGTAGCGGAGGAACATAAACGGAGTAATCTCTGATCTCTCATTTGTCCAGAAGGAAGATAAGGATACTGATAAGGATTCATGTTGTATCCGTTGAAACCACCTCCAGGGTCTTGAAATGGACTAAACTGCGAGTTTGGAGGCATGGAGAATTGCTGAGGTGGCATGGGACCGGACGGTGGTGGTGGTGGTGGTGGCCATGACGGTGGAGATTCCAACATTGGAAGATACTCCGGCGGTGGATAACTCATGTATCCGAAACCCGGATCCGAAACAAAAGCTTGTTGTGGTGGTGGTGGTGGCTGTTGAGGAGGAGGAACCCATGTGGAAGGTGAGAAACAGGTTTGGTCAGACGGTGGGATTAGGTTGTTGTTGTTGTGATTAGGGTTAGGGTTTTGAAAAGGGTCTTGTTGGTATGATTGTTGATAAGAGAGATTGTTGTTGATGTTGGTGCTGGTCCGTCTTCTTTGTAGATGATTGGTTTGGACCCATTCAAGAATCAGCTTCAAGAGCTGCTTCATAGCTTCTTTCCCACCGCCTAGCCTTCTCGCAGCTGACTCAATCGTTGCTTTCTTTATCTTCACTTTCCTCAAATCCTCAGCCGACACAGTCTCCTTGTTGTTCTTTAGCCACTCAAGAAACACACTCGCGAGATCGTCGTCTTGTTCCAACGACGAGTTCATCATTTGCATGTCTTCTCCTCCACTGTTATTATTGTTCTCCATGATTGGAACCACGACCTGGTCTTGTCTCTCGAGCGTTTGGTCCATCAAGTTAGGGTTTGGCGTGTCGTCGTCTTGGCTGAAGATGGCTGATGTATCGAAGAACTCGTTGCTATCAAGCAGATCCATGTACCCAAAAGTCTCCATCATATCAATGCAATCACCACCACCGAAACCTTGACCATTCTCTAACGGAATCTCCATGGAAGCAGTTGATTGCAATGCGGCGGAAGAGTCTACATCACAGTTTCCTGATCCGTATTGGTTTTGGTTATGAGTCGGATCTTCACCGTCTGATCTCAATATAGCCCAAGAAGCAGCTGATGAAGTTGAGGAAGAAGCTGCGGAAGAGGAAGACGCTGAGGAGACTATTGCGTTGACAGGAGCTGGAGATGTTGAAGAAGATGATGATGAAGACATGCATGGGAAATCAGGAAGCGTTGGGAGATCTCCGTAGAAGATTGATGGGTCATGATGAACAATCAAGTCGTCATCTTCATGATGACCATGACCATGGTTACGGTCACCTCCATGGTCATGATCTAGCCAGATCTCTCTACCGACATCATCCATTCCATCCATCAAAACAGCCTCATTAGCGTCTCCGGCGAGTATTCCACAACCCTCCGCCAGATCTCCGCCGTTGGTTACCACATGCAAGCTTTTCATCGGTTGTGATGGATCCGTGTATAATCCTTTTCTCGTGGAAAGAGAAATGATAATCTCTTTTGGAGAGTGAGAGAGAGGGAAAGTTAGGGTTTTTAGTACTTTGTACGGAGAGATAGGGTTTGTATGTGAGTAAGGAGGCAAGGAAAAAGGAAAAATTAACCCAACTTGGCTATAAATCTAATCCTCAAAACAACATAAACTATCTGGCTATCCATCCACATACATATACATATATATAATCTTATATACTGCTATATATAACCTTTTGAGAATCTGAAAGAGGCTTGTTGAGCTTAAGATTACTCAAAGAGGAAAAGAGGATGTATAACATATGAAGAGATCCGACCAAAGCTTTTCCTATAAAGTTCAGATGAACAAAGACGAATTGTAATAGGGTCCAAATTTTGCTTGTAGATCTGAAGTACAAGAGACGTAATTTGTTCACGAAGATTGGTCTCTTGTTCTAATGAAAGAGGTTTGAGATTGTAGAGAAGAAGAGCATATGAACAGGCCAATATCTAATCAAAAACCGTTTGGGTTACTCCGAGGAAGGATAAATACAAGAAGACTCTCTCTTCTTTTATTTATTTGTTTCCAATTATGGAGAGATACTAAAAGCAATAGTATTATATTGATAAAACTATATCGGAAACATGGTTAAAAATCACCCGAAGAAGAAAATAACTTAAATATAAGAGAACCCATGTGTGTCTCAGTTTGTTCCATGATATATATGGAAGTTCTTTATCTACTATAATTAATTTTTATAGTATAAAATATCTTAGATTGAACTGAACCCTTTTTGGTCGATAAGTGCAAATTTGGTTTTAAGTTATTATGTTTCTCTTTTGCAGCATTCATTTAACTCAGCGAGAAGAAAAGGAGAGAGACAAGAGTTTTTAAGAAAAAGAGATGTAACAGTTTTTCAGCATTTGATTTTTCCAAAGAAGACAAAAAGCAAACGTTTAAATTTGTGACAATATTGACAAAAATGCTGTGGTCATCAACATATTTAGAACATTTAATGCTCTATTTGATTAGAGGTTAAATAATACACTAATGTTTTGGAGAGAAGACATTGGTTTTGACATTAAACGGTGATAAAAAAATCAAATAAATGCACATCTATAATTGATCAAAATAAAATTTTAAAAAACCGGAAAAAAATAGAAGCCCCCTCGTGCCGCTAGTATCTAAAGGTTGGTACAGGAGTTTGCGCCCACGCGCCATACGTTCGAACTTGAGTGGTGAGACCAAGCGGTGGTTCTTAACCCCTTTATTTTATTAATTTTCCAGTTATCAACTTTCTAATTCCTATGTGCAATCTCACTTTTACAAAAGTAAAGTTCTCCTGTCGGTTTTGAAATTATCTGGCCATAAGAGTCGAAAAACTTGCTTCACTTTCCTATTGAAGTGGAAGAGGTGAATACAGATTTCGTTAACCTGCAGTAAGAGCATTTGCATTAAGAGGTACATATGATTTTAAATCTTATTATTATAAAAAATTTCTATTCTTAGAAGTCAAAACTAAAAAGTTAGTTATTTAAGTTATTAAGTTCACATTTTTTTTTATATTGATGTTTTTTCTAAGTTATTGAATTTTGTTTGTAATATATTAATCAAAATGAATTTAAATCAAATCAAAATTAACCAAATCAAATCAAACTGAATTAGATTTAAACCGAATCAAACATAAATCAAACCGAATTAAGTTTCGTTGAATTTAGTTAGAATTTTAGTAAAACTAAATTAACCAAACCAAACCAAATTGAACCCAAAAATAAATTGAAATGTCTATTCCTAATAAATACGGATTTCATTAACCTGCAGTAAGAACATTTACACTAAAAGTTTAGGTTTTAAACATTAAAAATTAAAAATAACTAAAAAAAGAAAGTAAAGAAAAATTCTCATTTGAGAACTTTTAAAAATTTATTGAAAATTTCATATTACACATATTATTTCTATATTGATTCAAGTTTCTTTTTTAAAATTTAAATTTAATTATTAAATTTAATTACATTAAAATAGCAATATTTTTTGTTTGAGAATCCTAAAGAAGTTCTCATTGATATAGATCTAAGCACTCTAACATATTTACCTATGTAGAGACTAAGAGTTGTTTATTTCTATCAACTTAATGATTGTAAATATAAGATTTAAACTATCTAGATAAAAAAATTTAAAACACTAATAGTTGTATAGGAATCCAATACAATTTCTTGTCAATGTAATCTTGATTTTTTTGGCACTTTATGCGAATAAATTAAATACAAGTCAAAACCTTGAAACAGAAAATTGTGTATTAGTTGGATTAATAATTCTGTTCAAGTGTTTTTAAAAAAAATGTTAAAAACTTAATTTTTCCAAGTAAATCTTAGTTCAATTGTCAACCAGTGTTTCTCTATTTTTGTTATAATTATATTATATTAAGTATCAAGTTTGAAACTTATTGTATTTGTATTTCTCTTTAATCAAAGAAATTGAATAGCTACCAATAAATTAGAAGAATTTTTTTTAGTTCAATTATCACCTAGAGAATATGAATATATACATATAGTTTGTAATATAATGTTTTATATTGCCACTTTTGATTTGTAATCGTTCCATTGACTAATTAATTATGAAAATCTTATTTAGAATTGTTTTAGATTTTTCATCAAATACGATACAAAATGTCACATTATTCAGTCTATCAAAATTTTGATAGCAATTGCCTGCAAGTGTTTTATGGCATTACTATTTAACTTATGCTCCCACCAAATAAGATAGATGGATTATTTGGAAAAGAAACTTTAGTAAAATTAAAATTTATTTATTGATTGCTTTGCGAGTTAGATATAAGATCTAGAATAGCCGAGAAGTGAAATGATGGATTATTTGCTATTTTCCCATGTCAAATTCCTACGGAGAAATCATATTGAAAAAGCATGGGCTCAGTTCATAGAGAATGAAAAGAAAGCTTATGGTAATGATTTGGAAGAGAAAGAAACCAATGTTGAGAGATCTGGATAAAAATAATTTGAAATACTTTAAATGATTTAAGAAAGTACAAATTTTTAAAATTTTATAACAAAAAATAATTGGTTTAAAAAACTTAGAGTCGTGTAGTTTTGTTAATTTACTGATTATAAATATAAGATTTAAACTATTCAGATAAATTTCAAAACATTAATAATAGTTTAGGAATCCATTTTATTCTATGCCAATGTCATTTCAATTCATGTGGGGCTTTATGCAAATAAATTAAATACAAGTAAGAATTTCGGAATGGAAAAATATGCATTAATTGAATTGATAGTTATGTTCTAGTTTTTTTCATTAAAAATATTATAAACTTATTTTTCGAATTAATATTTGTTCATTGTTCCATTATATCAAATAGCAAAGAAATTGTGTGACTATTAATAAAAAGAAATTTCAAATTCAGTTATTACTAATGGAGGTGTATTCAACTTAACATTTGGAATGATTTGGAAGAATTTAAATTTTAATAAGTTTTAGATGATTTGGTTGAATTATGAAAATTGTTATGATTTGATATCAAAATTCTACCAAACTCCACCAAAAATCATGAGATTTGGATTCTTATATTTTTAACTAAAAAATTCCATCAAAACATTTTAAAACCACTTTAAGTTTCTTAAAATTCTCTACTTCAATTATTACCAATAACAGTGAATTTTAAGATACATTTTCAAATCCCTGGTTCAATAACACTGAATTTTAAATAAAATTTTAAAATTTATGTTTCAATAACAGAAGGTTTGTGATTTTAATACAAATCATTCTAAATTCTATTTTGAATATATTCCCTAAGAGAATATGATTAAAGACATGTAGTTTATAATATGATGTTTTATATTGCCCTTGTTGATCTGTAATCATCCCATTGACAAATTAATTATGAAATTCCCATTTAGAATTGTTTTAGACATTTTGGACAATACAAAATTTCACATTGTTGGGTCCATCAAAATTTGATAGCAATTGTCTCCGAACATTTTAAGGCGTAAATTCTAAATTTATGCTCCCACCAAATATTTAGATGGATTATTTGGAAAACAAATTTCAATAAGATTGAACTTTATTGTGATTGATTGCTTTGCGACTGAGATATAAGATCGGGAATGGCCGAGAAATAAGATGGTGATTAATTTTGATTTTTCTCTACACAAACTTGCCAAATCCTATGAAGAAGTCACATTCAAAAAAGAACATGTGCTCAATTCATAAAGCAGGAGGAGGAAGCATGTGGCGATGATTTCGAAGAACAAGAAACTGATGGCAAAAGAACCAGAAAAGAAGGATTTGAGATGGTTTAAATGTTTTGAGAAAATATAAAATTTTAAAATTTTTAACGAACGATAGTTGATTTAAAGACTGTGAGTTGTATATTTTTGTCAATTTACTGATTAAAAATATAAGATTTAAACAATTCAGATAAATTTCAAAAGCATTAATAGTAGTATAAAAAATCTATTCAATCTCTTGCCAATGTCAATTCAATTCCTTTGGCATTTTATGTAAATAAATTAAATACAAGTCAGAAGCTCAAAACGGAAAAATGTGCATCTATTGGGTTGACAGTTCTGTTCTAATTTTTTAATTAAAAGTATTAGAAAATTTGGTTTTTCGAGTAAATTTTCGTTTAATAGTAAACCAGTGATTTTTAATTTTTAATTTTTTATCTACATCAAATATTAAAGAAATTGAATGGCTATTAATAAACCAAAGAAGAAATTTAAAGTTTAATGATCACCTAAAAAATATGATTAAAGACATCTAGTTTATAATATGAGGTTTTATATTGCCATTATTTATTTGTAATCATCTCATTAACTAATTAATGATGTAATTCCATTTTAAAGTGAATGTTATGCTCAATATATCAAGATGAAGAATAATACTGGAAGCAGAAAAGTTGGACTAATTGGCTAAAAAAAGAACACAATACGAAATTTTTCCATGCAACCACAAAGCAGAGACGAGCACGGCATCAGATTACTAAGCTAAAAGCAGCTAATGGGAGCATGGTATAGACTGATGAAGGTGTAGAAAAAGTAGCATCAGGTTATTTCCATAATATCTTCACATCACAATACCCAGATAATCATGAGGAGGCACTCTGGTATGCTACCGCGCAAGTTTCTACTGAGATGAATCTAGCCCTCACGAGAATGCTAAGGGATGCAGAGATAAAACACACAGCTTTTGACATAAACCCGGAAAAAGTGCTCGGACCAGACAATATGACATGCTTATTCTTCCAGAAATGCTGGGATTCCACAAAGAAGGACTTCATACTTATGGTGAAAGGTTTTTCTTTTGAAGATGGAGAGTTCGACTCCAGATTCAACCAGACCGATATATGTCTAATCCCAAAAAATAAGAGACCAAGGGAGATGGGAGAATTCAGTCCGATTAGTCTATGCAATGTCTGCTACAAGATTATTTCTTTGATTTTGTGCAGGCGACTAAAAAGATCCCCCTCCCCCTAAGTTAATCTCTGA